TCAATTCAGAGTTATTTTAATAAGGAAGTATGCAAACAAAGAACGAAGAAGGAAAACCCTGGCATGTTTAGCCTTGATCATGGGGAAGATAACTAAATATTTGTTGGGGTGCGGTATTTATTATTGGATACTTCCTTCCTGTCTATAACAAGCTGGTTCTTTCTTCTGGGAACATCACTCCCCCGTTTTCTCCGAGGAAAAACAAAACATGGACAGCCTCCCTCAAATGACCTGACGCAGGCTCGTCCCCAGCGTTAGAGCACACTGTGTACTGAGAAGAGCAGACGGTTTCAACAAGAGTCTGAGTACAGAGACGTCACGTAGCACACGTCTCTCAGCTGAAGGAAGAGAGGAGGAAATACTGCAAGAGGCTCTAGAATAATCACAATGCAACAGAGAAAGAGAACACCCATGAATCCTTACAAAGAGGCAAACTTAACATCTTCAACAATGAGTAAACAGAGAAAACAGAGAAAAGACGACCAGCTAGTTTTTAAATGTCAATGTTTATGCAGCTTTTACATTTGTCTTTCATGTCTCTGTTGTTTATGAATGTCTGTGTTTTCAGTCTATTTGTAGATTTAAATGTAAATGAATTTCTTAAATGTGTTTTTTATTTTGTATGTATTTTTATAAATATTTAAATTACTCTATTTCTTCTTTAAATGTCTCAGAAGAAAATTAAAAAATCATAATTAAAAAATAAAATTCAATAAAATTCTAGCTCATTTTCCCAACGCTATTGTAGCAGCCATTATTACTTTGGAAAAACAAAACCATGGCAACAATTGAGCTCGTGTCCCTGGAAACAGTACATATTGTCTTCAAAGCCACTGCAGCATCTAGAATGTGGTTCTCTTTTCTGTACTTGAAGCTATGCTTTGTCAAAATGTGTTTTTTCTATTTCAGTGCATTGAGCTTTCAGGGCCACCGTAGTTTGAGCTAATTATTTTGAACTGACTATTTCAGGTAAACTAAGCAAACTATTTCGAGAACTTTAAGCAGAACGTTCAGTAGATTTATTAAAATATTCCGAGTACTTTGAAGCAAACTATTTTCACCATTAATAGCTAACAATTTCATGTAGTTTAAGCTAACTATTTCGAGGGACATTTAGCAAACAGTTTCGATTACTTTTACCAAATTATTTCAACTACTTTTAGCGAAGTATTTCAACTACTTTCATAAAACTAGTTTGAATACTTTTAGCACTATGTTGACAACTGTTAGCAAACATTTTGGATACTTTAAGCTAACTGTTTTGAATACTTTAAGCTAACTATTTTAAAGTACTTTTAGCACACAATTTCGAGTAGTTTTATCAATGTCTTTCCAGCCAACTATTTCATATTCAATGCTAGCTAGTTGTAATGCTCTCTTACTGGGGACAACAAGAAGACCATGTTGGTGGACAGTGTTAGCATATAATAGCTGTTAGCTTACTGGCTATTGTGACATGTGATCTACCAACGCTGAAGATCCCATCATCCTAGACAAAGATGTGGAGATACTGCAGTCACAGAGATAGTGGCGGGCAGCCTTCAGGTCAGAGGGATAAGCCGTCTATTAATACTGCAGCGCGGTCATCAGTCGGGAGAATAGTTTCAAAGGACAGGGTGACTCAGGCCAGAGGGGAACTTGACACATCAGCCGGAGGCCATTCAATGTGATATGTGATAAGTATCCACTCACCACAAAGAGCACAATGTTCAGGGTTTAGACTGATGAATGAGAGCCCTTTGACCCATGATCTCCAACTATTTTAAAACTCCTATTTAAAGCTATTATTGTACCCTACACCCCACAACTCAATACTGTTAACAATAGGCAGCTTATGGACACTTTATGAAAACACTATCAGAAAGAACACATAGGTCTTTCACAATTCACCGATATTCTCTCAAAGTATGTCTAATATGTCTTAAATGATATGATGAATTGGAAATGGGGGACCCTGATGTAAACGAGACGAAAGTCTTTCTCTGGTCTGCATCCCCTTAACAATTGTATGTTTTGAGCTGTACTGTACTGTACCCAATATACAAGCTGTTAATAAACGTTTCAATCACTCACTCTAGGTACAGGTGTAGTATAGGGAAAGGACAATGTTAAAACGTTTAGATAGGATTAAAACAGTCATTTTGTATTATCACCATATCTATGATTAGATTTGTAGTCAAGTATCAGTTGTTAAATCTATTTTTTGTAAGTGGAATACTTTCTTTGGAGCCGTAATCTTTTTTTAAAGTCGTCAAAGGTCTAAACATTCTTAGATTTGCTTATGTTCAACAATCAACAGGTATGAGTCCACTTCACAGGAAGCCATAAGGACCGTGCATTTACATATAGGGCCTAATGTGTAGATAACCAGATCCTCAGTTCTGCCTCGTCGTGACTGAGCTTCAGTTCAAAAGCTGCTTTGACATTACAGCGTGTGTCTGCTTTACATCAAACTAGATTAAACTCCAGAATGTTGACTTCCATGTATAGATAGAAGCAGGAATGAGTGGACACCTTGTGCACAATTCAAAATAGCAGCTATAACAAGGAACAGACTGTTTGCATGGCTCTTTCTGACCAGTCAGCATATGCAAACATCCGCTTTGTGTTTTTGCATAAGGCTTGGTGAATGAGGCTCCTTGTTTGTTGGAGTTCTCCAGGGAAAGGGATCCTTGCAAACAGGAAATGGTGCTTTTACATCAGAATCCACATTTTGAATAAGGATGGAGGAGTTGGCTCTAACTTTGACATGAATCTGTCAATCAGAGGCTGCTTAACTTCAAACAGGGAGATGACATTGCACTAAAAACAGGCTCAGTCACCTCAGGATATTTTGCATATGTATACAATCTATTTCTGTATATTAAAACATGCAATTCTAAGGCTGTAGCGCAACATTCAATGTCTACTTCTCTTAAAGTAACGCAGCTTAAAACACTTTTGTGATGTGTCAGTACTTGCTTTATCTGTAAGCTTGTTAACACATTCAATTTGACTTGAACAGAGTGTTACTCCATACTGCGTAGACTTAACATATCTCTTCCTCTCAGGGTCAGTATTCGCAGTATTCGCAGCTTCTAACCAGTAACTGCAGCCGAGTCCTCCTGTTTAAAGATAAACGTGTGCGTCAGCTGACTTCCCAGAACAGTTGCTTATTTTTAAAATGAAAGGGGCGTGCTGTTGCTACGAGGAAGTGAAGAGGCCTCGAACCAATGCGGTGACTTGTCTGAAGCAGGCCCTTCCTCACAGCTCAAATTACCAAAGTGCATCCGGATGGTTCACTTGGGAAAGGAAGAAGACATTAAGAAATGAAATGTGATGAAATGGGGAGGGGGGGGGTATTTAGTTTTGAAACTAATCTGAACGTTTCTCAAAAGGACAGAGCTCATCGTTGGAGGCACACAAAGCAAAGGAATAGAGAATGCTTAGGTCATCTGAAGAAGCTGCATGTGGGTGTAAACCTGCGTGGTTTCCTCCGGGTTGGGCCATTGTGGTTCAAGCTGGATATAATCAATACTCCCCATCTGAATGTTTGGTATGCAGACAATAGTTTCAAAACACTCCTTAGAACTATCCCATGACAGGAATGCATTCACCTACTCCAGTCTTTCTACATCTCTGACTGATAAGTGTAACTGCAACGCTTTACAGCTTAACTGCAGCAATAACAAAGTATAACCACATTCTGGTGAGCTCTGCAGTTTCTCTCCAAAGATCAGTGTTGCTGACAACTTCCTCATCCAGTCGTTTCTTTAGCTGTGAAAGATAACCGACCATACATGGAAGACTTTAAAATGTGTTAATAAGCATGTTGACATCAACCACAGTGGTTTCATTTACAGTTTGACATACATTAGTTATTAGGAAGTGCCTAAATGTGCTATTGAGAATTAACGCAGTTCCATCCACGCAGACGGATGTATTCATATGGAAAGAATGCATAGCTCTAATAAGATAGTTGCCAATATATCAAGGTTGTTCAAAGACTTGGTGAACTTTGCATATTCAGCCCCAAGACACTGCGGTGCCGTCTGTTTTCTGCACCCCTCCTCCAATGCACTAGTGTATAGTGCCAACTGCTCTATGAAATTGCGTCAGCCTCAATTCCCAAATGTGTAACCGCCTGTTCTTCACAATGAAGTGTGCAGGGGGTAACCAGGGTGGAGGCTAACATCATTAGATGCAGGGGAGCACATGGGGAGGTCTGCTGTGGATCATCACCATGGAGAGGCTCTACTCCATTTCCTCTGCAGACCTCGCAGAGTGTTGTGTTTGTCTTGTAACCCGAGACAACGGGAGGATCTGCACAAACAAGGGTGCAGCCCCACATCATGGAGGATTTCCCTGATTCATAGGGTCCAAACTAATCAAAGAGAGCTATACACAGCTGCATCTTATCTGCAAATAGATATAAGGAGTTTAAGGACAATAAGGGCGAAGGTATTGTTGTAGTTCTAGATGAATATTACAAAAGCAGGGTTGAGTTACCGTCTAGTTAACTTGAGAAACACTAAGATGTTGGGTTAGTAAAAGAGGTTAAGGTTGTCACTTTGAATCAGAGAGCTTAAATAAACATACCCACAAATAATAAATATACCCAATGGAATGATATATTTGCTATGATAGTTTAACCGAATACATCTTTCTTTAAGCAGCTTAGAGGCTTTCAAACCCAGGAAGTAGACAGTGTTGTGCAATTTTTGCTGATGCTGTGAACTGGTTTTTAGCCCACTTTCACAATCTGCTGTTGTGCACCCGCTCTCTGCAGAGAACGCCATCGCTGCAGACTCGCAGTAGTTGCGGATGCAGCTGAGATCTCGGTTGTGGCCACAGCCTCATCACATTTCGAGGAAACGCCAGCCTTTGTTGACTGATGGGGTTGTGGTGTGAATAAACACCAAAAGGTCGAAGAGTGCGGAGGCGTGGAACTATGACTGAAGACGAAACCTCTGTCTTTGAAAAGTTCGCCTTCACAAAAAGACCGTATCAGAAAACACATGTGAATTATAATTATTTTTTTATTTTACAACTTGTACAAATGTGTTAGCTTACAACCTGATCCAAGTCTGCTTTCTGTCTCAAGACAAGCAAACTTCCCCAACTTCTGTCATCTTTGGTGCATTGGACCAGCACAATCTACCCAACTCAAACGCCTGGGTTATTTCTTCCAACACACTCAAACTTTCCAGGCTCCTGTTTAGAATCAACATTTTCAGGAAGCAGAGCTACACTCACGCAAATCCCCCTCCTCCCCCCCTCACGTTGAGGTAACACGAACCTGGGGATATGAATTGGCTTTATGAAAATGGGCTTCGTGACTGCATGAAAATGGCTGCTTTACGTTCCTGCTTTGGTCTAGGGCTTATTAACAACAGACCATTACTGCTAGGGAATTTTACAAGAATTATGATAGAAAACATAATCAGAAGGTTCAACTGACTGCCCATTACCCTCGTTTCAATTTGCATAGGAAAACATTTGTTTTAGATTATAAAAATAATTTCTCTGAATTTAAATAATGTTGACTTCTTTCCGTTAAGTCCAGTCATTTAGGTCAACTTAGTGGCAGTTGGGGGTGGAAGATGAAAGGAACCTCGCCTCAGCAGTTAAGTCCATTTAAGTCCAATTTTCAATGTTGAGAGATGTTGCCAAAAGTAGGAGAATCCACCAAGTGAAAAAAAGGCTCAGAGTGTCCAAAAGTTCACCTGATCAACAGGGCAAGTGTAGCCCCAATACCAGCAACTCCAGCAAAGGCCATGAGCGTGTTCCTCACCGTGGACTCGGGGTCTGCTTCCCGAAAGAACTCAACGAAGCCATCCTGCAAATAAAATGAATTAGATTTACATTATAAAGTGAGGCAAAACTGCTTTGGACTTGTTTGACTTGTTGCACAATAAAGGGCAGTTACACAACTTCCTGTCACTCAAGCATTAGTCATAACTTACCCAGCCATTGTTTTTGACCAGCCAGTCTCTCTGGTCAGATAGCAAGTATGTGGAAATCTCCTGGGCCACCAGCTCCACACAGTTCTCCCTGTTTTTCTCCTTCAGGTACTGACAGACCACTGCCCCAAAGGCCACCAGGCTCGCGATACGACCCCAGTTGGTGGTCCCGTCAGCAAAGAGGCTTGTTGCTACTGCACTGACAAAACTAGCGTCATCCTCTCTGTCATCAAGTGACAATTTGTTGATCATACCTAAAAAGAAAACAAGGCCGGGTCAGAAATACATCTTCTAAAAGACTCAAAGGCTTGTATTGTCATATGCACAATGGATGCAGTGTAGCTGTTGGCAAGCAAAGTCTAAAGTCCAAGGCTCTTCCAACAATGCAACACACAGTAAACTAGAAATACATATATGGGGAGGAAAAAAGTGCACGTGCAGGTAAAATGAGGGGAGAAGTGAACTAGGGAGAAGTGAACTAGGGAGAAGTGAACTAGGGAGATGTGGTTGAATTAGATAAAACGGAATGTAAAATAAAATCTTGATTGTATGTTTAAAAAGGTAAGATTTTGTGCACATCAACTCAAACAATTTCCATTCAAGTTATGACTGCTGGCTTTAATTGATCTAAGAGGCAGTACAAAAAAGCCAGTTCAACAATATATATGTTGTGCATAATTAAACAGCCTGTAGCTTTAGCATTTAAAGGCTATGAGTAGCAGTCTTTGAATAATAAATATCAATGTATATACTATCATATGTATATATGTTTCAGCTACTGTAATATGTATATATTTTCTCCATATTTTAATACCTGAAAAAATTGCTGTTGTAACAAAATAATGTCCTTATCTGGGATGGATAAAGCAGCTTCCTATATCCATCAACCAACTTCCATTCAAATTAGTTAACTACTGGCTTCAATGTACCTAAGAGGTAGTAAAACAAATACAGTTATAAAACAACTATATATATACACACACATTGTGCATAATTCAATAATAGATATAACCCAGCATGTAGCTTTAGCATTTCATGGCTATCAGCAGCATAGCTCACACACATACGTGTCACTGCTACCTACCATTGTATGCGTATCTGTGCTTAGACAAAACGTTCTCCACCACTCGTTTCATCGTCCCTAGTTCTCTGCTTTCATTCCACAGAGGTTTGGAAAGTCCAGTAAAGTCTCTGAAGAACAGGCCAATTAGTTGCCTGGTGTCGTTCTCGAGCACCTCGTTCCCCGCAGAGCCACCGGACTCATCGATCTCACTGTCCGACTGGAGCTCCGGACTGCACGGTAACGAACCGTCTTCAATTTCCTCGCTGTTTTTTAACGCAAACCCATTGGTCGTCTTCACCCCTAGGCTCTTGGGTCTTTTCGGGTTATCGTTGGACACGACGTGGCCGTTGCTGGAGTCTTTCGGTGGGGAAGAAGTGCCTCCTCCAGAGCTGTAGTGCATGGCTCCGTCCACGACTCCATTTTGAGAAAGCATTATACAGCTCATGGCTCCAGTTACGCTTAAGACTCTTGTTGTCCTAGGAAATATGTTTGGCGATTAACTTTAAAGATTACTAAATGAAAAATAAAGGATATTGATAGAGAACCTTGCTAGTCTTTGGTTACAAAAAAAAATTAAGCTAGCCTATTCTAACGGTGACTCAATATCCATGGTCGTGATGGGAGTGAAACGGAAGTGAAGCCAACGGTCTTATGAACGGTTCTTATCTTGCGCGTCATTACGTCTCATGCGTCAATATTACGTCACAACGTGTAGTCCAAACAATTTTTCCAACTGTTCTTATTTTTTCGAGTTGTTGAACATAAGGACAATGAAATAGGTTGAGAAGAAGGAGAACATGTATTTTTCAGAGTGTGGGAAGGGTTTTAAAGCAAACTAATATAAAGCAGGCATTTCATAGATTTTTGGTAATTTTCCATGACATCAAACAGAGAGATAATAGATTACCGGAAACAGTGCCATAAATAACGACTTCTCTTTAGGACTTTATGACTGTTACAGAGGAAATCACGAACATAGCAGTAATGTTTTTACATAATACTAATAATAACTAATCCATGAAGTTAAAATACATTTTTAGTAGCCTATATTGTTTTCTATTTATACCATGACATTGTATTTTCCATACTGTTCTTTTTATTTTAAGCTTAATGAATAGTATGCTTGTATGTCTTCGATAGACAATGACATTGTGAAATTAAATGTTTGTTTAACTAAACATGTCAGATATGTATATTATAAAAGTGGTTACATTTATTTAATATATTGTTTAAGTTCAATTTCAACCAATTTCCCCATAAATCATCACCAATGACATCGTGCTATGCAGCAATTATGGTGGCTTAAAGTGTCTTGATCGGTTTATAGTTTGATAAATGACAGCAAACCTTGTTGTCACCGACACTGATCCTAGACAATAAATACAAATAAAACGGGTGACATATCGCTGACATTTAGAGCCACCCTGTCCTGCACTTTAGCACACATTACATGATATTACATGAGGGTGAGTCGACACATTTCTTCATGTTTAATCACAGCAGGGTATTTGTCATCTAAATATGTGAGACATGCACCTAGTAGGCTACTCCTTTATACAGAGTATGTTAGGAAGTCTTTTGTGAATTAAAGGCCACATGTTGAGTGCTAGTGCTTCCCCCTGGTGGTCAGAGGAAGGTTGTACTCCTTTTAGCATCTCCTTATGTGTTTCCCCACAAGATTGAGTCATTTACACTTAACATGTGACCTTTTCTCATGTGCTTCCATGTGTTGAGGGGGATTCGTCATAGAGCTTTGGAAAATACAAGAGCCTAACATGAACGAAAAACAAGGGAATCGTATTAATGTAAAAGTTTATTTCAAATACTGACAAAAATCCTCTCACCTACTCCCACACAACTGAAACATTCCAAGTACTCGTGTACTTTCTGAAGTCTTTAAATCATTCCCGTGTTCTCCAGTCATCCTTTTTAACATGTAAACCCTTATTTGTATTTTTCCTTGGAAGCTAGGGGTGCCTCTGATTTCCCTGCAGTAATCTTGGGCTAGGATGAAATATACTAATTGTGTTAAGCAAGAGAACACAAGAAAATTAAACATATCATTGCAAATAAAAACAACAAGAAAACCGATAAGGTAAAAGCAGCACAAAAGTACTTCAGAGCCACAGCCTGTCATTTCTTTTTACATTCTGGCACGTGTTTATATAGCTGAACGAGAGACACCCTTTGTGTTTGAAACATACCCTGCTATTTCCTCTCGTTGAACCGCTCTGTGCCAAAGCCAAACATCAAGTAGCATTCAAGAATTCCTGTCCGTTGCCGTTTAATAGAACATGTAAAAGCTTAAACACCCATTTTCTTAACTTTTAAAGCACAAAACTCTAGTCTTTTTAACACAATACGATGCGTGTGTGACAGAGCTTTTCCAGAATCTTCTGGATCAAAAGCTGGATAAAGTTCGGCAATGTACCGTTAAAAATGTAGGGTTGAATTCACATCTCAAATGATTCAACTTTAAACAAGGATCCTTGGGGGAACTGGTCAAATCAAGAGGACAGGTGTTCTTGTACAGGGTATATCTCTTAGATTTGTCTTTGACTGAATCCGCAGCATTTACACATTTCCATACGATACAGATTCACTAAGATGGAGCAGAAGTTCAACTGAAAGGAGAGAGGAACCATTGAATCAGAAAATAGCTCCGGCTATGAGAGAATGAAAAGCAGTTGGGAAACAACACAAACATCCTGTTGAAGAGTATTTACAATAGACGGAACAGAGACAAGCATTCATACGACACCATCACGAGCACATACCTACAGGTCTTTCGCCCACTGCACATTTGACACATTATTCTCGAGGAAAAAGAAGTGAGGTTGAGGATGTGATGCACCCTGTCACCTAGCCGACATGGTGCAGAGTGCGTTTGTGAAGGTTCCCTGATTCTCAGAGAGCGTCCAGGTCTTCTACGTGTGGACGCCATGCTTCCAGTCTGCAGGTTCGTTGTCGCTCAGAGGGTGCACCACATTAACAGGTGGGATAGGAGCGCAGTGGGTTATCAAATCTCTCTCTGCCTTGCCAAGTGCTGGGTGAGTGCATCCTGCAGGCACGCAGCGTCCCACTTTAAGCCTGTGATGACAATCTGGGGATCCGACACCTGTTGTGAGCAGCTGCCCTCCTGAGGTCAAAGCTCAGTGTGTGTAGTGACTCCGTTTGAAACACACTTTGTTCTACGGGGCGATGGTGGCAGAAGCAGCTTTATACTCCAACTAACGTTTAAGGGAAGCAGAGTAGGAGTATTATTTCACTGAAGTTAGTGTCTTACAATGTGACTTTCAGAGATGGTTACCGCTTCCTGTGTTTGTGATAAGTGTAAAACATGGAGAAAACCACCTCCAACAAAAAGGCGATACATTAAAGTCCCGTGTGAGATTTAAAAAGCAGCTGGAAACATTTCCTAAATGTCTGAAAACTATTTTCACCGCACATTGCAGGACATCTATGAAGGACTTGTTATAATCTGATACAGCAGTTAAGTCACAGTATGAACTGAAATGCTAAAGCGATTGTTAAGTCTGCTTTTGAAAGATCACAAGTAAGTAAGATGTCTGGATCGTGTTTACGTCACTCTACGTTCATGAGACTTGAACACAAAGTGAGCCTCGCCACCTCACAGATGATGGGATGGCAACAGGCCACATTTCATAGATATGTGAGACTGATAGCTGCAGTGTGACATTTGGCTGTTGGTAAAGCATAGAATGACCAAAGGCAGAAATCCCAGGATGCAAGCGAGTGGATTCAGCACTACCATCTATCTCAGTCCTCAGAGAGCTTCTCTCGCATTACGTGCGTGTTTCAGTATTATCTACAGAAGCATATACTCTACGCGGGGTGCTTCGAGACCCCCGCAAATCTTTTAGGCTCGTGGCAAACACACGTCTTGAACCAAAGTGAGACTGACCTCAGACTGGCATGGTTCTCCGCCATTAAAAATAATACAAGGACACTCGGCTGGCCTGCCCTGGGCCGATTACAGGAGGTCATGGATTGTCGGGACAGCAATAAGGAAAGGAAAGGAAGGAAGGAAGGAAGTGTGGACGTCTAAGGGCTCTGTGTGTTTGTTTTGATACTTCCTATTACTAAGCAAAAGCCGCACTCGTGTTAAAAAAACATGATACATTTCTTTTTTTCTTACATGTTACAATCATGCAGCATATTTAGATTGAACAGGAGAGAAGGGATTCAAGAAGGAAGCAACATGAGCAGAGAGAGAGAAAGTCAAGTGGCGCTTTAAATCCCTTTGGCTGAGCACGAGTTTTGTTCCACGAAAGGTGGCCGAAGGAAGGCCGCCGTTCATATCCCCCCATTTCCCAATATGGTGTCTAAAGAACTCAGATTTGGTATGCAAGCCATTATCGAACATGAACAACCAAAGAATCCTGGTTCCTAACTCCTTTACACATTATTTTGGTGTCATGTAGGATGCAAAAACTAAACAAAAGCATACAGACTACAAAGTGCATTATAACTCACCCCGTCCAACCCCTGCCCGACGACACACCCACTGAGATGCATCTTGGAGCGAAACGAAAACCAAGACATGAGAGGGAAGGGGGCGGAGGGGCAGAGGAGTGCATTGTGGGAAGGCGGAGAAGGCTCCCTCCCACATACAAGCAAATGGAGGTTTTTTTAACTTATACAACTCTGCCCGACACGTTAAAGCCAGTGGTGCCTGGGGGTGGAGAGGGGGAAGAGAGGGGAGGGGATGGACATAGATGGAGGAGGAGGAGGAGGAGGAGGGACATTTCGATGGGGGCCCCAGGAGGCGGGGGTTAAGGTGCTTTTAGGGTGATGGGGGCTAGCCGGCTAGCTTGCTGGTCACCAAGGAGGACTTCCTCGGCGGCAGGTCCTGCGGCGTGGGAATGTGGTCGCCGGTCACCAGGTTCTTGTCGGGTCCTGCCACGGGAAGCTTTTTCATATTTGCCTTGGCCATGTTGTAGTCGCCTGAGTCAAAGTACTTTTGCTGTGAGAGAAGAGAGAAGAAGAAGTGCTCACAGCGTTAGAAAAGTTTGTATATGCTGCTCATGCTCTTTCTGCATATCATGTATTTATTTTTGCTATGTTTATAAATGTTCTTAAATGCTGTATGTGACGGGACTACGGATGGAAATGAGCTAAAATCCGGCATCTTTACATTTTGAAGCATTCATTGTTAAAAGTGTTCATCAATGTGCATTGTCCCTCTTCAAATACACCATTAAATACATTAAAATACATTAAAATGTAAATGAAAAAGCATGATCAGTCCATGGAATGATTCCTCTTGTCCATACGGTGGAGACACTTCCTTATGTAATCCCATATGGAGCGTCCATATGGGATTACATAAGGAAATGTCTCCATAATGGAGGACATGATTTAGGGGCTTGTGTAGTTCAGCTGAGCTGTCCCTGCCTTCTTCCTCCTCTACAGTAGCTTTCCACTGAAGGTGTATCAACACAAACTGCATGTTCACTGGGAACTATTGGATCATGATTCAGAGATCCCCTCCACACACAGCTTGGTTCTTTGCTCCTAGTTGTGTTAGTCTTGTGAAATGCTAACTTTGCCTGGCGATGTTTGCACTATACCTACATCTCTATTTTCTACAGAACTTATTGAAGTGTAGTAGTCCTGAC